ATATATATATATGTATATATATACTTGTGTGTACCTGTTTATTTTATACTTATTTACTTCTGTATTTGAACCACATTCAGATACATATTTAAGACTTTTAAACTCTACGCTTAGTTTTACCTCTTGAGTCTATATATATTCTACTGGCTTTCGATTTAAAATTTTGAGTTTGGTTCGTAAAGACAGGAAAATCTAAATTATCTGCATCCATAACGGCACATATGGTAACGCCGTATAAGACATCCATACGAAGATCAGTTATAATAATTGAACCGTTGATGGAGTTGACTTCAATCTATAAAACATTTACACAGTTTACAAAAATGTATTTAGGTGGAGTTCCAGTGAAGATGACTGTTCGAAAAAAATTGTGTAAGAGGTGTAATGAAGCTGCCTCGCGAATTTTTGGCTGTTTTTAGAAACAGTCTTTTGGAGGTCTGAGCCGCTACGTCTTATCGTTTTCTGCTCAGCATATTTATGGCAGCAGAATATGCGAGAATTACGGACATAATAGAAAATAAATTTATGATTCTATATTTGTAAATACTCAGATCTTACCACACAGTTGCCATCTTTTTTAAAACGCGGACAGTTTGTAGCGTTTCCAGTAACGTTTAGCAAGTCAACTCCAATTAAGTCAGCCTAAAAATGAATTTTATGGAGCTCACAACGTAATTTTACATTCAGAGTGAAGCTCTTCTTCAGTAGTTAGAAAGCTACTGGGCTATCTTAAATGTGTTTAGTAATTATGAAAAGTATAGTGGGCAAGACGTTTGTAGATGTAATGTAACAAACCTCTATTTCTCTAGCAAACTCTTTAGCATGGCCATAAAAAGCAACAAAATATAAAGGCTTTTTATTTGCGGCTAGAGTGGACCGAAATGTAACGTTAACTGTGATATTTGTTGTCGAATCCCGTGCATTAATATTCTTGTTCAGAATCTGGTACCGGAACTGTTCGAATTGCCCACATAAAGGTGGTTGGTTGCTTTTAATGTTTTGCGAACATGGGGCTCCTTCAACATTACCGCACTCTGCAATCAAAGAGCAACAAGTTACTCCAAAACCTTTTTGTCAAAAGTTCAAAACAGAAAATTGTTTTGAACGCATATATCTTGTTTCTTTCTGTGTTGTTTGGTAGTCATCTTAATGTTGCAATACCAAACTACCGATTTTTAGAGTTCTCATTGAGCTGAGATCCGGATTCTGAAGTGCCTGAGCATCTCCACAAGTACGACTGCTAACCTCATTAAGGTAATATAGAAACTGGCACCTTCTGTACATCATGTCAGCTCCCACGATGCCTACTAATGTTCGAGGTTTCGTCCCTTTTTCCTGTAACACATACTTAGAATATATCGTTAAAAAACCCAAAATTTTTTACGGAATAAAAAATATGTTTCATTTTAGCAATGTTTTTATTGCTCGTTTTCAAAACGGTATAATTTGCTATGAACGCTTCTAAGTGAAACATTCATGTACGACCTTAAAGTTTTATAAGGTATATTTTTACAACGTGACAATTTTGATGTCGCTGCTTATTTCTTTCTACCGCTTATATTTTAGTTGTTTGAATCGCTTTTCATAAGCACGTACGTGAGATACTTTCCACAAAATTTTTGTTGGAATAGTCAAAAAATAATTGAGATTCTTCAGTTACATTAATTAATGTTGTAAATATTTTAAGTTTGTAAAAATACTAAAGTAGCAAACTCTTGTTTCAAAAGAAAAGTAATTATCCTTTATAATTTCCTGTTCGCATTCAACGCTACTAGCTACCCTACGTAAATATAAAGGCTATGATTATGTAAGCTTTTCTCTTACCTTATTATTGAAGAAAAATATGCAACTTTGCCTTTGCTGTTATGTTTTTGAAATCATGGTTATTAAAAGTTACAGAAGAAACTGAGTTAAATTTTAAAAGTTATGCAACACCGCATTTTTGTGAAAGAAAGTACCATTCTCTTTGAAAAAATTACGCTTCACCCTTTCTTACCAATCTCAGCAGTCAAAAAGCTAAATAACAAAAGAACACCATCATTAAACTGTCTCTGTCAGAAAGCTGTAAAAATTGTAAGTCTTTCAAACAGCGTACGCAAAAAAGACTTATGTAACATAGCTGACTGTTGCTTCGCTTAAAAACTGTTACAATTCATTTATTTTTGCAGTGATAATTCCGTATTAAAACTGCTTATAATTTTCATATTACTGTAGAAGTATTCATGAAAGGTAAAATAGTAGCTATACAGAAATTCCAAAGAAGAATTAAACCTTTAGACTTGAATATTGTGGGATCTTTTTTGTGGAAAAAAAAAACATTTTCGAAAAAGCGGAAGAGTTATCATCTTACAAAGGTAGGCTGTGGTATTGCAGAAGAAAGGTCAGGAATATCGCAGTTGATCATGTGAAACATTGGTGTAACAATCAGATCTTCGTCACCCAGTGGCCATTCTAAACATTTACAAATATTATTCAAAAAATTTTTCTTCATCCTAAATAAATGAAAAAAATTGTTGTCATAGAGAACAGAAATAGTCTCCACATAGTATTCTAAGCAGTAGAAAAACTCTTTTTTCTAAAAGCTGGCCAAAGTATGTGCTCGCTAACAAAATACCGGTTTTTTCGTACTCCAGTGAAATCTCTAAAGAGGCGTTTGATCGATGAAAACTGACTTCGTATGGAACATCCTATAATTGAACGACTTTGGCATTCTTGTAGAAATGTTACCTTAGTATGAGGCAGTAAAGTGTTATGCGAAGAGAATAGTTTAATTATCTGTATAATTCATTTTCTGTTTAAACAGTTTATTAGAAGTAAATATACCAAATAACGTAATGATGTCAGTTTCAATGTGGCATTTATTTGAGGAGTTGGAGACGGTATCTCGATAGATGTGAAATCGCTGACACCGTCGACTGAAACTGAATATAGACGATAGAACTGCTCATCACAAAAGGAACCGTATTTTTCACTCCAGTTTGTAAGACTGCTATTTTCACTCAACTGGAATAAGAAATTACAAGTGATTATAGCCAACTGATTAGGCTTTAAAAATCGTAAAAAAAAAAAGAAAGAAAACAAAAATAAAAAAGTTAGATTTAGGGACAATAATTTTTGACACGATTCAGTTTTAAAACTTGATAAACTTACATAATCAGAAAACTCTTGACCAAAATCGGTTACATTACTAAACTGTAGATAATAAAGAGCTTTAGCGGGTCCATTCCAGCTAAAATTCAATGTCGAAGATGGCGTAAATTTATATGTCACATTTGTTGGAGCCAATACTTTGGTTGCTGTACCTAGATCTTTACATTTTTCCCAACAAGAAATGTCATCCAGCTTCTGCAAGGCATAAGTGTTAGTCAAGAAAAAAAAACAAACAAAAAATTTACTTTTTTTCACACTTTTTCGATGAAGTTTCACTTTTTATACTGACCGCAATTTTCCTTACTCATATAAATTCAAGACAATTAAAGGTTATATTCTTAAGCGAACATTAGTTGTAGAGAAAATTGTTTGATAAAAGCGTTCAAAAGTTTTTTTTTTTTTGCTTTGTACAGCAAATTTTGCACAACTTGTTCAGTAACTGTTTTTTGTATAAAAGAACAAGAAATTTTTATACAGACCCGTAAAAAACGAAACAAATCTAAAGAGTACTAATTAAGTCAGACTCAGGCTTATGCATGCTATTTAACACTATTATTATCAGTATTTTTACTACATTTTTAATTGCAATTGTACTTACAGAAGACAGTTAACAATACAAAATACTTGGCGAAATTTTCCTATCCTAGCTCATATTCCGAAAAAAATGCATTAATTATTTTTTAAATGTACGATAAAAAGTCTATGAGTGAACCAAACACAATAATGAATAATAAGTTTTACGTAAAATTTGACAAACTAGCAATAAAACCAAAGTTATTTTTCATATAATCTAGTAACTTCTGAACCTAAGCCTAAAATACGTGTCTTCTAACTATAAAAAAAAAAATAGGTTTTAAAGTAACTTTTAAACTTTAATTAAGAAACCTAAGTGCTAATAGTGTAGTTTTTTTGTGGAAAGTTTTAAAAATGACTCACGCAAAGGTTACTGGTCCGGTAACTAATACATTGCTTTTTACACTCTTCCAGTAGAAGCTGAAAGATAAAAGAAGCAATCATTTAGCTAATATCAGTCTTTTTCATACAATGAATCTCAAAGTAATATTAAAATAACAGGTGTAACATCACTTACATTTGTATTGTCAGAAAATTCTAATATGCCACGTCTGCTCTATTCCTTTTAACTTACAGCTTTTAACCGTACCTTACAAAACAGAAAACAAATAATTTTTCTTTACTTTGTAACGACTTATTCTTCCAAATAAACATTTTAAAAAAAGGTATACCTTATCTTTGATATAACAGTTTGCTGTACATCTCAGATAGCATATTTGAGGCTTGGCAACCTGTTGCTGCTGCGCTGTTTGATAGAAAATGCAGAAGAGTAGAAACAGAAGCCTCGAATACAGCAACATTAGGCATCCAAAGACGATTTCATTAAATTATACCTGCAGATGAATTTCTTTAATTAAGGTTAAATTTTACATTAAAATTTTTCGAATTTCGTAATTTTGCTATTCTTTTTTGTCACGTTCATATGTACTGTAACTTTCATTTCAACGTGGCCATCAATTCAGATACAGAAAAGTTGCTTTTATTTTATTAACAATTAATTTTTGGTGCAGATATAATAAACTTGTTAAAACACAAAAACTAGAGCGTATAAAACAGTTTAGCAGCAGTTTTCCCAACAGTGCAAAGGTAACAAAGAAAAAAAAAAAAGCAGTAAACGATTTCAACATTTAAAAATCATTTATTTTTTTTTTTTATTTTCAATGTTGCACTGTAGACTTTTAACTTTTATATTTTCAAAAACATCAATTACAACAATGCAAAAGAACAGTTAAGGGTATAAGTGGAACTTTTTCATTTATTTATGTCAAAGAAAAAGAAGAATTCCAAGTAAGGAGAACATCTACAAAATCTTACATCAAAGCTAAACATGTTGCCCAAAAATTTCACACCGTTTATGACTACACAGAATTGCTTTTTAAGCTTGACGCTTTGAAGGAGAATTAAAAAAAGAACCAGTTCGATAACTTCCTAAAAATAAAACTAACATTGAATTTTTCACAGCATAATTACTACAAATACAGCTCAATACGTTCGACTGACAACTTAACACAGCAAACAAATAACAATTTAATAAAAAGTAAAGTTATAATTGTAAAAAAAAAA